AATTTCTGTGGGATTCATTGAGAATTATAATTAGAGCTGAATTACCAGTCTAGTATAAATTTGGAGATCAATTTAGATTGAATTGACAAATTAATGTCTCGATTCGCAGCTAAATTGCAGGCTATCGGAAGCGGTCTTAGGAATTTTGAATCATGACCGGATGAAGGGAGGCAAGGTTTAAGTTGGAACCGCCTCTTACAATTTTAGGCAAATAGGAAACACACAAAGGATTTGAGAGGCTTGAGAACTTTAGGATGAATTTTCCTTAGCCCTATCATGAGATCAAGGTTTCCGATAGGGTAATGCGGTTCTTAATGATATGCAATAACATAATTTAACTTAAGGGGAGTTGGAAGTCCGAAAATGTTAAATTGGCCACTTCGAAATACCTTTTCTCAAAATCTGTTATAGATTCATGTTTGAAATTTTTTATACAAGTAAGAAGATTATTCTCATTATACTAAAATGATTTTTTTTTTTAAAATCAAAAGTTTGTTTTTTACAATTTTTTTTTGTGCCAAAACAAAAAATGTTAGATTGGCAACTTTGCTGTACCCTTTCTCAAAATTTGTTATAGATACATGTTTGAAATTTTTTATAGAAGTAAAGTACACCTTTCTCATTATACTGAAATGAGATTTTGGTTAATTTTTAATTTCTTATAAATTTACAAATATTTAATTAGACATAGTGAAATTTTACCCTATTTTGACACACAAAAAAATTATAAAAAATATAGTTTTGAGTTTTTTCTTTAAACGTTCATTTCAGTACAAGGAGAAAGGTGTACTTTACTTGTAAAAAAAGTTTCAAACATGTATCTATAACAAATTTTGAGAAAAGGTACACTGAAATGACCAATTTCACATTTTTTGTTTTGACACAAAAAAATATGTAAAAAATAAATTTTTGAAATTTTTTTTAAAACTCATTTAAGTATAATGAGAAAGATGCACTTTTCTTTTATAAAAAAATTTCAAATATGAATCTATAACAGATTTTGAAAAAAAGGTACATGGAAGTAACAGGGTTAGGGTTAACGAACTTAGGGTTCCAACTCCCCTTAAAATATCACAAAACAAACATATTTATCAAAGTAAAGGCTCTTTATATCAAAACAAATAATTCTTATTCTGCATTTTATTATCAAATAAATATGAAATATAAAATTAAAACTAAAACTCAGACCTAAGACAAAAATCCAAAGAAATTCTAATTACAAAACTGTAAATTTTACAAGAACAGTGTTTTTCAGAATAGATCCTACAGTTGATCTAATAATTTTTTTAAAATTATTATTAATGTATTTTGTTTCCGTAATTCAGCTTTCTTCATATCAAGACTTAAGAAATTTTTAATCCCAAACACTTTTCTGTGCAAAAAATTTTCACGGCAATAAGTATACATACATTTAGCCGAAATTAAAAAGCTATATTGAGCATTAATTAAAATCTTAAAAAATCGTCACTTAATGCATTTATGCAATAAATTTTATTTAAATTCCTAAATCAGGCCGATTTTCTTAGTTATTTTGAATAATAATATTGAAAAATAGGAACAAATGTTGTGCATCTAAAATTTGAACATCCCCAAAAAGTGTGGCATGCAACTTTATTTGGGATCGAGACGCATAATTTCAGCAATTATCTATCGATATATAAAACTCAACGTATGTATATTTGTTCCAGCATAACTTTCGAACGGCTAAAGGGATTTCGATGAAATTTGATACACATGTTCCTCATTAATCCACTTGAAGTATAAGAGGGGTAAATAAGCCTAATCAGTTTCTCAGGGTAAGACGGGGCGAAGTCTCCAAAATGCATGTAACAAATAGGCCGATTGACTCTCTCGGCGATTTTGAGTCTTGGCGTCAGATTTGGCGCCAAGAAAATATCGCTAAAGGTAGATTTATCGTTACAGATAGTATTGTTATACCCAGGTTTCACTGTATTATTTTTATTTATTTGAAATTTATTTTACGCAGAATGGCAACAGAATGATAATTGTTAAAATATTATTAAACGATACAACAAGTTTATTCAAATATTTTAGAATAAATTTTTTCTGGGTGTAATAAGATGGAAATAAGTTCAATGTTCTTACGGAACTAAATCGCATATTGTGTCGACTTTGGAGTGATTTTATATCATATCGTTTTTCTAAGCGTACCTATTTGTGGCTATGTATTTGCAGATAATCCTATCACAACACATTTTCGATTTTCTGAGAGAAAAACAAATACTTTGAGATACAAGAATGTTTATATTTTTTAATAATGTAAATCTCATATTCTTGCTTATACGTATTGTATTTTCACACTTTGACTCACTCTTCTGTTTCACATTTACTATGTAATTAGATTGCCCCTTCTTTACTATAGTAAACCCTTTAATCGCCGGTGTGGTTTATAAACCACATATATAACAAAGTACTCGCAGTTTTTTTTTAATTTTCTTTTTCCTCTCCATCACAAGGTTTTGCTAAGAAAATGACCGGGCAACGCTTGTAATCTGCTAGTAATAAATATATTTTGATTTTATTGATATGTTTTTGAAGTTGTTATAAAATTAAGTATACAATTGCTTTGTGTATTTTTTAAAACATGAGTTTCAAGTTTGTTAAGTAGAAATTTTTAAAAGAGGATGATAGTTTAAGGAAACAAAAAATTCAGGTGATTTGAGCCATAGTTTGTTCAACCCTGTCTAGTTTATTTTCTTCAACATTCCACGTATTTCACTTGAGCCATTAACAACAAACCTTTTAAGTATATTTTTCATTTCAAAACAGATTAGCTCTCGTTCCTGCAACAATTACAACTGTCAGTGGTATCTTTCTACATCTCAAAAACTCCTTCGTGTTTTTGCGGCAGAAAACACAACTTTAACTTTGAATCTCTTTTTATTCTAGTTTAGTTTTTAGTTCGTCTCTCGTACCAAAATGATACGCTTTACTACAGAGCAGTGATTCATCATCAAAAACGCCATATTCTCTTCCATGGCCTTACCGTTTTTCTGTTGATGGAACATAATTGCTTTGTTATCGCGAAGTTGGTATAATTACAGCCTTGGGTTTTGACTTCCTTAAAACATTTATTTATTTTTCGGCCCTTAGAAAAACTAAAAGACTAAAAGAAGCAGTGTTTTTATTGTTGTTTGTGGTGTTTTTAATTTTTTGCGATTCATGCATCAGGCGAAATCGCTCTCATTTCTGTGTGACACCCACAAGATAGAGATGTATGCTTGTGTGTGGTCTGCTTTGTGTGCTTTCAGATGGTTTCTTTTTTGAAAAGGCATTTGTCTGAAAGAAAGTGACAACGAGGCACTCTTGATCTTAATGTTTTAGGAAGTTTATGAAAATGGTGAAAGAGGAAATGTTGAATTCCTTGTTTTCGGAAAAAAATACATTGAATTCTTGAAATATTCATACTTAATTAAGCAGTTTGTATTTGTTAGCAAGATATATGTCTATAATTAGGCATTTTTTAAAAAATGCATTGTTGGAATTCTCAAAAATGAAGCTTTATAGTTTAATAGGGCATTTGTTGAGACGGTAACTTCTATTATTTTTAAAGCACAAATTAATTCTAAAAAGAAAAACAATCTATGAAGAAAAAAATTAATGAAGAAAAAAAAATGAAAACGTTAGAAATGATATCTTGAACTTTTAGTCTTAATTCGTGCAGAATATTGCAGGAAAGAAACTTAGCTCCTTTTTCAAAAAATTTGGTTCTTGTGATTCTATATACAGTGAAACTTGACTAACTGGAAGTCTATGGGGCCACACTAGAAGTTCGGTTTATCCAGTGTTGGCGAGTCAGGGAAGCGGGGGCGTAGCCTACTTTTTCCGGGAAAAATTAAATTTTTATTTATTTTTAGCTGTCTAAAACTGAGATCATAAAAAAGCAATATTTTCCAAGAAATATAGCTAATTTTGTAACTAAATTTTTAAATTTTGTTGCCACTTATACTCCCGGGTACTTTTAGATGTAAGTAAATTTTTTGCCCCCTCTCTTTTTTTCCACTCAATCGCGCCACTGGGTTTATCGAAAAATTCGAATTATTAGAAAGCAGATATAAAATGAGTATATCTAGAGCAAACGGCAATTTTTAACCCAAATATGACAGAAAAGATTTATTTGTAACAGTTTTTATAAATAGAGCACAATTAATAAACAAAAATGATGAATTGTAATAAATAAGGTGATAATTATTATAATTAAACAATTTTTAATGATTTAAAAATAATTTCAATTATGTAGTAAATCATTTTCTTAAACCAACAGTAATACTTGGCACTTTGAATAGGACAACTGTATAAGGAAACTTTAAACTAAACAGCACAATTCACAGGGTACGTGTTCTAAATTTTTTTAAAAAAAAGTGAGAATTTTTTTAAAAAAGAAAGCTAATATAGTCAATTAGAGCCTTTTGAGAATATAAACATTTTCAAATAATGATAATTTTCTGGCTGATGACAAAAATGGTAATCGTTCCGTTAAACCAAAGATATCCTTTCATTCTATTTCATTTCCTTGTCCTATTTTGTTGTTTTCTAAAATCTGAAAGTTTATAAGAGTAGTTTATTTAAGTTATATATGTTTTTTTCACTTTAACTTAATTTTAATAAACTTAAAACTTGCGTAGAAATCACTGCCTGCTATTTTTATATTGATGAAAAGAACGTAAGAAAGCACCTTCCGTTAAACACAAAGAGAATGGTAATCTTTGAATTTTTCGATTGCTATATTCCAAGGAAAGTTTATGGATATTGCTAGCCTGGTGACAAGATATCGGATTTCCGCCTTTTTTGTTGTTGTAATTTCGACGCATCTGTAGTGACTTTCTTTATGTTGATAAAATCCAGAATATTACACAAGATTGTTCAGAAAGTGTCTCCTTACTCTTGAATAATTAACATTTTATCCGTCGTAATAATGAAAAAGAAAAATACATTGTTTGTATTTTGTTTACTGAACATAGTACGCTAATTTGACCGTAGCAGCTGTGGCCGAGTGATCAAGGCGATGAATTTGAAATCCATGGGGGTTGCCCTGTGCAGGTTTGAATCCTGTCGGCTGCGTTTTGTTTTTTGCAGAAAAGGTTCAGAATTGTTTTCGACGTTGGTTATCTGTTTTAGTGTTAGGACCTCGATATCCTCTGTCGATTTTATTGCATCTCTTTACAATTATTTTTTGGAAATTTTATAAACGTAACATGAAGAGAATATTTTTATTTATTACAAACGTAACAACGTGTATGTGTGCCTGGTGCATGTTAAATCTGCAGTCGAGGTTCAAATGTCCTTCATTTGTTGTGGGCGTAGCAATTTGGAGAAAGGATGCTGGCTCAAGTGTTATCCTCGACATTTGACCACGTTTAAATTTACGATTCCCTTCTGAAAATAACCACGGTGTTGCTCGATAAAAGGGACACTAATGTAACTGAAGCTTTAAAAAAATCATTTAATTTATACAAAAAAGAAAGAACCTCACACCATTGTTACTTTTACATAGAAATCACAACTTATGATCTTTAATATAGAATCTTAAGCCTTCTGTTAAAAACAAAGATAACAGCAAGCGCCTTGAAATTTTCCATCCCTATTTCTTCAAGGCCTCAAGTGGACATACACATTTTTAGTCGATTACTTCCGCCAAGGTTCTCTCCAAACCCATACGCTTTACTGACCATCGTCCAAGTTTGCCAGAGTCCTTCTCTACTTTAATGAAAGTTCTCTTTTTTTTGCCACCATTTTTTATGTCCTTCCCCCTATTCTCTTCACTGTCTATATGTGCGTGCAAGAAGATGAAAGATTAAGGTACGATGGATTCAGTGTGTGTGTGGGGGGGGGACTATCGAAGGATTATCGATTGACGCCCCCCTTCTAGAGGATTTCCACACGATTATTCTTTTGGCAAAGAAATGATGGAAGAAAGGGGGGGGGCAAGTGTAGGTGAACGTCCCTTCCCGATTTGCTTGAGATATTGAACGGTTTGAAGATAGTAATATGCGCTTTGGGGGGGGGGGGGACGCTGAAAAAATTGTATATATGGATATCGATTTTTAACGTCTGAGTTACGGACAAAGACTGGTGGAATATAAACGGACGCTATGGTCAGGCGGCGAGTTGGCGGGCAGTGTCTTCTGGACACAGAAAGCGTCATCAAGATTTGACTGTCGTTTTTCAAATCTCTGACGTTCCTAGATTCGTAGCTGCCACGAAGCGTTGGCTGGTTTTATAAATGGTGGAATTTGCGATTGGGATCGAGGGATTGTTATGTGTTTCGTTCTTGTTTCAGTTCTTTTTAAGCTTTGTATTTTAGGAGTGGGCTGATTGCTCTTTGTTTCATTTTTCTTTCATCAGAGTTTCAGTTTTTTTTTAAAATTTCTATTTTTAAGATACGTTTAAGTGAATAATGAAATTTTTTAGCTATATTAAGAAAACTGCGCAGCTCAATTTTTTTAAAGACTGTTTTACGTTTGTCAGCTCAATAATTTTCGAACGGAATCTAAGCGATTGTCACTGAATACAAGCACTGAATGATTCTTTGATATCTTCTTAATTTTAATTATTTCATAGCTTCTTTCAAAGTTAGGTGCCTTGAATTCATTTCGTATCACATAATACGAAATTATTATTATTGATATTTTTTTTATTCCCTCCCCTCATTCATAGTTTTATTTTCTCTAATTATAACTGCTTTTTTCTTATACTCGGGATCCTCATCTTTCTTAATTTTGGGGAAAAAAATAGTGCAAAAAAATAAACGGCGCGTCTTCTTATTGTCATTCCAAAACAAAGTAAATATTTTTTGAAAACCTTAAAAATTTCAAAATAAATTTCATATCAACTTTTATAAAGAAAAAGCATCTTAAGTTTCAGAAAAACTTAGCAATACTAACAAGAAAAAATGGAGGAATAAAGGACATTATAACACAGTTTTTGTGTTAATACTTGCAGCAGTAGCGAGACTAAAAGTTAGATTGACTAAAGTGTCTTGAATACCCTCAATTTTATTTTGATTGCTAAAACGATATTTATTTTACTTCATTTTCAGCTTCGAAACTCTACTGTCAATAAATTGTTTAGTATGATATTTGTATATTATTAAAATAAGTTAAAACTCTTCGAAACCCCAATGCCGCATTTATGTAATATAACTATACCAGATATATATAACATCAGACGATGAATGTTACATATACTATTTCTTTCGTGAAACACATTCAACTGAAATTTTAACCATCCTATATTTTGATAGATTGCATTTCTTTCCGAGGTCACGATGGCCTATTAATAAAGGATCGGCCTCGGAGCCCAAGGGTTCCAGGTTCGAAATCCGATTCCACTGAAGATCCGTCGTGTATTAGGCCTGCTGCAAGTTAAATTATACGCATTGGGTCAAATGTGCTCCCGCTGGTGTGGTGCGGAACTTTGGAGGGGGGCTGTCAGCTCAGGTGTCGTCCTCGTCATCTGATCGCGGTTAAAAATTACAAGGTCCATCCCAAAATAGCCCTCGTGTTGCTTCAAAACGGAAAGTTAATGTAACTAAACTAAACTTACATTGCTTTCCCTTGTCTTAACTGTATATTTATAGTATATTAATTTCCTACTTAATAATAAATAGCATATTGAAATCCCCACCATTATTCACCAGTTGACAGATATTTCACATAATCCCTTATACACTTGTGGTACAGGAAATTGTCCCAATAATAAACACTATTACACTCATGAATTCGATAGAGAGCATAGGCTAATTCTCACTTGATACTGTTTAACTAAGTGAGAGGCGTACAGGGATAAATGATACGTTGGTGTAAATCGTGGCCGAAATGCTTTACATCATTTCAGGATGTGTGCACTGCATCAGTAGCATGACCCCGTCACTACTGTGTCCACTAGACTATTTGCTGCTGCGTGTTTACACGATGATGCATCTTGTCATCATTTATACTAAAATGTCCAATTGATGAAATCTCATGGCGCCCTTTTACTAATCGCACTGATAGGAAGTTATTCGTAATTCATTAATGTAATTGACATTGTGGAAATAGTACCTTTAATGCGGTTTAATTGGACCTTTCAAAGTGAAATGTTTCGCATTTGTAACATTGTGTTGCTCTATTTTTTTGGACTGATATTCGTACATGATTCAAATAAAGGGGCATTCATACAAACCACGACGAATTTTAATATATGTGTGTTTTAATTATTTGAGCAGGTAATTTTTGTCATTCACATCCCTTAGCATATAAAGAAAGGATGAATATCAAGTTAGGTACTTAGTTTAATTTTTAGGTAATTTTTAAGGATTTTCCATGAAAGTCATGACTTAGCTTCTTGTCATCGCTCGCAATTTAACTACATTATTATTAATTTTCCCTTGCGAAACGTTTTAAAGTGAAATAGTGAAATGTTTTACATTTGTAACCTTGTGTTGCTTTATTTATCTATTACTTTTTTTGGACTGATATTCGTACATGATTCAAATAAAGGGGCATTCATGCAAACTAAGATGAGTGTTAATATATGTGTGTTTTAATTAATTTTTGAAATGTTTGAGCAGGGTTTTATGTCATTCACATCCCTTAGCATATAAATAAATGATGAATATCAAGTTTGAAACTTAGTTTAATTTTTAGATAATTTTAAAGGATTTTCGATAAATGTCATAACTTACTTTCTTGTCATCTCTCACGTCATAACTTCATTATTATTAATTTTTCCCTGAAAAATTCAGAGCAATTTGCATTGTTCTCTTTACCCATCCAGCCAGAATCCACATCATAACTTCATTATTATTAATTTTTCCCTGAGAAATTCAATACAATTTGCATTGTTCTCTTTACCCTGCCAGTCAGAATCCACATCATAACTTCATTATTATTAATTTTTCCCTGAGGAATTCAGTGCAATTTACATAGTTCTCTTTACCCTGCCAGTCAGAATCCACAACATGTCAGGGAAATCATTTTCATGATTACTACATAGAGTGAATAACTGGAAAAACACTATGCACATATAAGTCATATATTCAGTTTTAAAGTTCATAATTATGAAATCTTTGTAGTGTGCGAAGATTTCATTATAATTATCATTATATAATCCTTCCATACAAAGTTATAGATTCAGTTCTATGAAGCTCATCACATTCCAAAATCATTGCATATTTCTGTAAATCATTTGGAATAGAAAACGGTCTCGATTTGAATTTCATTCATATGATATTTCATATATGCATGCCCATCATATTTACCTTATCAGCTCACCCCCACATAAACGAATGGGCAGTTCCCTTCTATTTTTTCCCCGCTTTATTGGAACCTTCCGTCCACCCACTAACTCAAGGCGCTGCCCCACCCCAAGCGATGTACGAAAAAAAAGTTGCTATACAAAATAATAACAGAGAGGGAGAGGCAGAAGAAAAAAAGAAATCTTTTGCAGTATGGTAATAGGGTTTACAACGCGCAACGCTTTCGGCTCTCCCTCGTTGCCATGACAACCGCATCGCGTGGGGACGGGAGGATGCTGTGTGAGGGAAAGAGATGAGGGAGGCAAAGGAAAAAAAAAAATCGTTTGGCGGTAAAAAAAATCGAAAAAATAACACATCTGGATAGGGGAGAGCGGAAAAAATTGTGGTGACGGGAATATTAAAGGTAGACAGGAGTAGGTAGGAGATGAATTTTGCTCTGATTTTGTCACGTGACATTGTTTGTTTGTATTTTCGATGGTTTGGTAAGTTTTTTTTTCTTACTTCCCTCTCACGCATATGGCGTAACTACATAACTTTGGGGGAGAAAAGTAGGTAAACTAGCAGATATTGTTTCTTCTGTTGTGTTTCGTAAATATTTTGCTTTCCATAGCATCAGGGACCTGTCTATTGAATTGCTTTAGTGGCGGAAGTTGCAGACGACGGAATTTGCTTGGGAGACTGGTCGAATCTAATTTTCTGTTGCAACATTTCCTTTCTTGGAACCTGTTTGTATAAATAATTCGTATTTAGGATTATTTAAATTTGTAAAAAGTAACCGAGATAAAATTGCTTATATTGTGGGAGGCACTTAATGAAATGGATT